TGTAACCAAAGAAATCCCTGCCTAGGCAATTGGTGAAAAATCGGTGGTAAAGCCGTACCTTTAACAACATCCAAGCAATATTGCGTTGTCAGTTGCAATCCTGGTGTCGCAAAGAGTTTGCTGACATGCAACTGCAATTTGTGCATGGTGCCCTACCACTTGCTGCGCTTAAACCACCAGCACCTCGCCCAGCAATCAAGTCCAAGCCTCCCGCTACCGCTAAGTCGAGCCTTGTCGAGCCTACAGCTACCGGTAGCGGATTTATCTTGATTTCAATAAACCAACAAAAAAAAAAAAACAAAAAAAAACACCAACGATATTCTACAAAAGAAAATAAAAGCGCAGAAATAAAACGAAGAGGGAAAGAGAGAGAGAGGGCCGACGATTTTGACGCGGCGCTCCCCGCAAAGCGTCGTCGTCTCTCTCTCTCTCTCTCTCTCTCTCTCTCTCTCTCTCTCTCTCTCTCTCTCTNTCTCTCTCTCTCTCTCTCTCTCTCTCTCTCTCTCTCTCTCTCTCTCTCTCTCTCTCTCTCTCTCTCTCTCTCTCTCTCTCTCTCCCTCCCTCTTTTCCCCTACCCTCCCTGCCGCGCCTGTCTTTCCCGTTGATTTTTGTTTTTTTTTGTTTTTTTTTGCACTGTCGACTTTTTTTTTCCTTCTTTTTTTTCCTTGACTTTTTTCGTTTTCTTGGTACCGGTCGTTCAGTGCCCGATCCCCATCCGACGCGGCACGTTAACGGCCGCGTCGGAGAAAAATAGTTGGGCGAGGTACTGGTGGTTCAAGTTCGTCGAGTTGGATCCTTACTCTAGCTGCAACATGTGGGTCTTTGTACTGCGCTACTAGTATCTCTTCGAAAGCAACAGTCGAGGTGACTTTAAGCCACTCTGTTAGATCAATCTTTGGATACCCAGCTTGCATAGCTTGGACTTCTAGGAAGCCCCTTACAACAGCCTCGATGTTCGTCTCTAGGATCAAGGAGTGGCTCACTCTTTGAGTGCCCTGTACCTCAAAGTAAGCTCTGATGGAATTGATCCAAGACTCAACATCTTCCTTGCCATCATCTATGGACGGTATAACCATCGCCTTTTTGTCCATGTATGGACTGCTATAGCTGGGAGCAGCCATTGTTGGGTCCGATCTCAGGGCTGCAACAATTGCAACATCTCTTGCGCTGTCACTTGTAACCGCAGCGGAATCTGCACTTGTTGCAGGTCTTAAAAGACTTGTCACCAAACTCAACGAAGAAAAATAAGAAGAGGAAGTATGGAGAGGTGCAAAGGTAGAACGGTTAGCAACAAGAGGTAGGAAAAGAGAGCTTGAGATTTGGGTCTGATGCATGATTGTCATCCATTGTATCTGATCACGATGCTCCTTGGCCATATATGTCATTTGAGTACGCAACCGACTCATTTCGTCGAGTAGTTGGGACTTTATACTCGGAAGCTTGCTAAGCAAATGTCAATCTGTGAGGGCACATACGTACTTGACCAGATATTTTTTGACATCTGCATCAGAAATGGTTGAGACTATTTTGAAGACGGTCTCAAGACCTTCAGCGCCTGCTTTTCGCTTAGCTTCTTCCTCCTCCTCCTCGGCTATTTCCTTCTGACAGAGGGCCTGGTACAGCAATTTATCCTCGTCATCCGTTGTATCCACTCGAGCCTTTAAAATATCAGAAAGCTTGCTTGGTGCCATGTTGGAACTACTAGATCCATCAGTTGCCATGGCGTCGCTCTCTCTTCTTTCTTGTTCGCGCGTCGCGACGGACATAAAATGGATTTCCGTGAAAGAAACAAACTGAAAGCGCAGGAAGAGAAGGTAGAACTCCTAGCCAGAGAGGCAAAATATTTGGACAAGAGAGCAACCAACAAAAATAAAATAAGATAATTCAGAAGAGAGTTCTGACTCCACGTTTTGGTCTGGTCAGGCCAAGTACGAGATCCCCCCGAGCCTAATCCGATCAACACCATCAAAGTACGGCGAATCAGACTACAAGTAACAACATACAGCAATGGAGAATTGAGTGGTGTATAAGGTGCAGATCAAGCATTGGATTGTGCGTCATCAGCCCGCAAAACATCTCAGCCGAGATCTCCTTGACGGCGCGTGTTCGAATCAAAAAGAAAAGCAATCAATTCCAAAAAGAAAATAGAGCAACACCGCGTCAACAAATTCGAGTCCAAGGGGCCCTTCTTGTTTGGGGCCGGTCCCACCGAGTCCCGATGGGTCCCACGTAGGTCGTGACCAAGTCCCAAGCAAGAAGAGTACCACAAGGTCCTACTTTCTGCCTCTACCGTACTGAAAACGAATTTCAACTTTAAGAGAAAACCTAAAGACTACATCCATTCAGAATGAAAATACAAAGCATTGGAGAAAGATATTGCATTCAAAGCAAGATACTTCATCTCTCCATCCATCAGGTCAGTAAGCAGTTTGCACACCAATGCACACAACCAAGAATTCAGAGGAGTAGGAAAGAGACCCAGAAGTACCCCAACAGGACAAAGAGCACACATGGTCAACCCTTAGGTGCACGGCACTCACCTAAGTGGCCTGGACTCTAAGATGGAGTATAACTCACCCCCCTTCCTCATATGGTCCTCCTAACCCTATTGGCTACCTCTACACTAGTGTCCTATCATGTAGGAGAGTCTGACTCCAACACCAAAGTGCAACACCGGATCCCCCACCGATGCTGAAGAACAAAGTAGCAACTTGCAGTCCGTAGATGCAGAATGCCTACCTCCCTCAAGATCGCCTACTTGAGGGAGGCCCTTAAGTCACTAAGTTCTCCCTTAGGTCAGATTCCAGATGCGAGTGCCTCTCACTCTCGCCTCTCTCAAATTGTCGCATGAAGTCCTCTTGATGTGTCTCGTCACCACAAGCTCACTCTCAATAAACCTGGTCAGGTTCAGTGTTGACCCAACCCGACCTAACCTGGTGGGGGCAGCTTCCCTAGTCCCCACTGCCCCACTTCCCACTTCGGACCAACCCTAACCCTAAGTGGTCAGACCTAACCACTTAAATTAGGGATAGGGTGGATAAGTCTACTCTCACCAGCACCTGGAATCCGCTCTGATACCAATGTTATGATCCTGGCCAATTTCGAAGTACACATTCATCAGAAAGTACAATGTCGTCCAATTGCAAAAAGCAATGACTGAACTTGAGAGGAGAGAGAGGGAAAGAAGAAGAAGAAGAAAGAAAGAAAGAAGAAGAAGATGCACACCAGCATAGACCAATGATAATGCTCTTCTTCTTCACCAACCAATCTCCTCATCCTTCTCTCCTCCCTTCTTATTTAATCAAGAAATAATAATAACCAGAAACAATGTCCGCATCCCTCTTCTACTGCAGGTATCACATGAGGTCCACCATAGCCATGGCACCTTCCTCCTTCCTCTTCTCGAAGGCCTAGGCTATGGCGGACTGCTAGGGCCTTGCCCTGATGTGCAGAAGACAACTCAAGCAGCTCTGGCTGCTCTAGCACAGGCCGCCATGCCTGACTCTGCCTCGAGGCTTCTTGGTGTAGCTCTACCCCTGCTGGGGCCTTCTTGCTGCAGCGCCCACCAAGGTGATGAAGATGGCAACCACCATGGTCAGGAAAGTACCTCTGGTGGCCCCCCTTCCTAGTCCTGGTCTTCTTCCTCCTCCTGTCCTTGCTCCTTCCCCAGAAGCACTGCTCCAAGCTAGCGCTGCTCCAGCCAGCGCTCCAACCAGTGTGTCGCCAAACTTGCACACCAACAATGAGGAGGAGCACCTTGCTCCTCCTGGAGATATAGCGGACTGCTTGCCACTTGGCGAGTGACTTCCTAGGCCGCGCGGCCTCCAAGCAACCGGTACCTCCTCCCTTTCAAAGGGAAACATCATTGCAGACGCTGATATCACCTGTACAGGCCCTAGACTTGGACTGGTTGGACTGGTACCCGCCTAGAGCTAGCCTACAACTACTGGGCCTCTAAAAATGCCAACTTTTGTCTTCTTCAGCTACTCGAGTACCCGGCACATCTACCTCTACTTGGTGTGGTACCGGCTTACCTGCTACATGAGTGTTTTCCGCTGTTCTAGGTATCCCGGGCCTCTTTCCCTGCCACTAGTGTGTTTTCCCTGCTGCAACCCTCAATGTCAGGGCCACAGGTAAGTACCGGCCCTTCAGGCCTTTCCAAACAACCAAGTGCCCTTACGGGTCACACACACACTCAAGCCGACAAGCACTCAGACAGGCATGCAGACCAGCAAGCATGCACCCACACAGACTTAGAAAACTCAGCAACAAGCGCGAAACTCGGTAAGGCATCCATTCCATGAGCAAAACTCAGAAACCAGCTGGGTGTCTCAGGCCATGTTTGGCAGGTCATTACAGATTGGCACAAACGGTGGGCAGCTGAAAATCAACAACCCAGGAAAGTACACAATGCATCCGAATGAAGAAAGAAAAGAAGATGATGACACGCATAAATCAAGAAAGAAAAGAAGATGAGGGAAAGATGGAAGGTCAGGAAAGGAAGGGAGAAAAACTGGGAGAGCTCATAGAGTGTGTGTGTGTGTGTGTGTGTGTGTGTGTGTGTGTGTGTGTGTGTGTGTGTGAGAGAGAGAGAGAGAGGTCAGGAAACAAAGGGAGAAATGAAGGGAGAGAAGAACGGAGAGACAGAGAGAGGGAAGAAGGAAAGGGACAGAGTTATAAACGTGGACAGAGAGGACCACTGAAGGCGGGGGGCCAGGTGGTGAGGGAAAGAGAGAAAGAGGGGAATATCATAAACAAACATAGCCAAGAGAAAATGGGAACGGTAGTGGAGGGGTCAGAGCCGAGAGGGAATGGCGTACAATTTCGCCAAGGAAAAAAAAATGCCAGGGAGAGAAACAATTGCTTACAGATGGTGGGGAGAGCGAAGAGACAGGGAGAGGATGTAGGGACAGCAATAGAAGACTGTACGAGAAAACACATCACTATGTTTAACAAATAAGTAAATAAATAGAAATCGCTCTGCTTAGGAAGAAACATACTTTTGCCGTGACTCCCATAACAAGGAAATTGAAAATCGATGCGACTGAATTCGTTGTCCCTGCAGCACACACATGCCAAACAATGGTGACTGTCATCATCCCAACCTTGTATACCATTGAGTTAAACATATCCAACTACCATCCGCCATGTACGTGAATGTCAGTGTTCAATCCCAACCTTATGTACTGTGCGGAGTTAAGCGTATCCAATGGCAGTCAGTGATGATGATGATGTGGCTGCTTCCTTCTGAGACAGCCACCAAATGTTAGGAAACCAATCAGAAAGTAGCGGATAAAGGACGGCCGAGTTAACCTCATCCAACTACTGTCACAGCACAAATGTTATAACATTGTGTAGCCACATTGATGACAAACAAAGCAAGGGGCCACAAGCTGGCTAGAAGGTGAGTCAATTGGCCACCAACTAATAACGAAGTAATTCCAAAATGGTCACCAAGTGCATCACAAACTGTGCACAAAGCTCTCATACCATGATACCAGTACATAACTGGCAAGGAGGGTGAAAGAGGGAAAAAGCAAGAGAAAGGAAGAGGCAGCGGGATAGAGAAATGCAATACAAGAACATACACAGAGAAATAGAGACCTAGAAAAGGCCCACCAATAGACTGGCAAGACAGGTAGTAAGTAGTGCATGCCCTTTGCTTAAAGTACCGTTTCTTATAGAAGTTATCATATTGGAGATAGTATCCTTACTCACATTAGCTACTCTTCTTTTCTTTTTTTTTGCATCTTATAAATAAAATGATAATCATCATTATGACATTACCATGAATTTTTCTACTCAAATACATATTGAAATCAATGTGATAAAATGAGAAAAAAATCATAGTGACTGTAATCAATGAATACAATAAAGTTGAATAAACTAAACAAAAAAGTTGAATCGCACAAATCTAATACCTATCTGTTGTCGCGGGCAGAATTACCAAAAAAAAAAAAAAAAGAGACGCACCAGAAACAACTGCCCAAGCAGCGACGTAATCCGTGGCCTTGTGACCTAGCAGAGCAGTCTGTATCATCTGCGCCCCGGCTGGAGCACTTTCCAGCAGCACTGACGGGATGGCTAATTTCATCAGCCCCAAGTAGGAAATGAGGTTCTTTGTTGAATCCCTCGCCATTTTGTCAATTGCACCGCCAAGCAATATATTTGCTTTCAAACTCCTCCAGCCTTGGGCATCCACTCAAATACACAAACTAGCAATCAGACCTGCAGCAAGAAGGGAGCAACACACCACACATGCACGTGCACATGCCCATGCCCATACGGTTATGAATGACTACTAGACTGTCTCGATTGGATGCCATTCATTCCATAACAAGATAATAACGATTAATAATAACTCAAAAAGAGTGACGATGATCCATTCAGTGGAAACTTTGATAACCTGCTAGCCATTCACTCATATTCTAGTCGGTCAAGTATATGGTGACCAAAGCCGTTCGTCAACGAAACATCACTGCTCTGAGGTTTCCCATATGTCCATCCATATGTCTTCCCTCAGCTATACAAGGACCACAATCCTACTCTGCCAGTTTACCCTTTTGTGCATGGTGGCTCCAGGTCTAACCAGCCACGGTTTTTTTTTCCCCTTTTTTTTTTTTTTTTCCCTTTTTTTTTTTTTTTTTTAACACCCACAGGTTCTGCTAGGGGTGTTGGTAAGAGCACCCGCCGGTTTCTCTCCTTACCTCCTCACTCTCCTTCCAGTGTGTTCCGATTCGATGCTGATGTCTTTCCTTTCAATTGCCAACTGAGTTCGGGTCAGTTTAACGAGCCGTCATCGGCCGTTTTCGATACTTCTTCACACCCCGAGCAGCTCGGCTGATGGTTCCAATCCATTGGTGGGGACCAGCACCTGCTGGAAAGCGGTCCAATGTCCCTTATACATTGAGTTTGCTGAGGATAGAGACAAGTTGTGCATGCTGTGGTCAGCCTCTTCAGCCCTAAAGGGACCGCCAGATGAATGACTGAGACTGCTAGGTAGCTGACCTACATCCCTGACTAGATACCTGATCTTTTCGTTTCTTTACCTACCTGATCTTTTCGCTTCTTTACCTGGAATGGTGAGGTTTTCATCTTCCGATTTGTCCAACTGAAGAAATCGAACAAACTGACCGTAGCTCTTGGGAATTTTCCGCTCCTGGAAATCAGAAGTAAAAGTCACCAAAGTTGGGGTGCGGGGAATTTTGCACACCCCATGCAGCCTAAAACCCCTCCCATAACTTCACAACATTTTCTCGAGAACTACTGGTCCTACAATGCAGGCGGTCCGAAGAACAAGGACCGTTCAAACCCAACAACGCGTTTCCAGTCTTCCACAATCCCTCTAGAACGCACATAGCGCCAGTCATCCGAGCACACATAAAGACGAGCCTTGGGTACAGACACCAACCCTGCTATACCCTGCTATATATCGTCAAATAGCTATATATATATATATATATATATATATCGTCAAATAGAATATATATATCGTCAAATAGAACTGCCCGGTAAACCGTAGGCAGAGAGGGAGAAGAGGACAACAAACGAGGGGCTGTGACAAACTGTTTCGTCGGAGTT